AAAAACAACAATGCTGTGGGAAACAATGGCTGGATCTCGGTAGAGATACAAATATGATAAGCAACAGCTAAAAAGTAAACTTAAGTAAACAGCCAGAAATAGAACCAGAGCTTTTGGACAACACTAGTGCTTCCTCAGTGGCGAGTGAGTGAGGGTAGAAAAAGCCAGATAGTATAAAGTGAGGTTAATTCTTTATTAACACAATATTCATTGTCAGTATCTTACCTGCTTTAGTCAACATTATAAGCAAAACCATTTGCTCACAGTTCTTCTTTATTTAAAAGGTAATTTGTCTTTCATTTGAAAAGGTATTTTTAAGAGTACAATATAGTTTTCATCTTTTTTTGTTGGGGGTGTCATTTATGAGAATAATTTAATTATTATTTTGGCTTTAAAGTCTTCCAAAAAATGGGAGGGTGACATGATGGTTTTCCACAGAATTTAAACGTCTTGCCCATTTTTCCGGACCCCTCCTGCAAATATCCGCCCCAGTACTGACACCCTTGCAAAAGGGCACTGAAGGTAATAATGTGAAAAGTGGTAATGTGAAGCATTAAGCACTAATTGATCAACATAATTCAGGGGCGGATCCAGAAATGTCCAAAAGGGGGGGCCGGAAGCGGGGGCCGAAAATTGGGCCGATTGAGACAACACTGTCGTAGGGGGTCTGGGGCATGCCCCCGCGAAATGTTTGTGTTCTAGACGCCCGAACATAACATTTGAGGCATTCTGGGCTATCATTTTTTTCTTTTTCTCTCTTTTTTTCCCTTTTTTTTACCTCCCAAAAGGGGGGCCGGGGCCGGGCCGGCCCCCCTAAATCCGCCCCTGTAATTAGCATGATTGTACTTAGGTAGGGAAGAAAACAGTTACAAAATAAGAAAGCCAATACCACCTTACCTTTCTTTACTTCCATCATCACTGCATCCTTCTTCATTGACTCTGGAAACTCATCCAAAGCCTTGCTAAAGCCTAGCTGATCAGTTTTGTTATGTTTCAGTTCACCAAGCTTGTGACTCTTAGGAATGTATGACATGGCACCATTTTCAGCATCAACATCATCGAGAGCCAACCAAAAGGTGATCCCTTAAAAAAAAAAAAAAGTTGTAGGAGAGTTAAATTTTCATTCCACGATTTTACTTATCCTATTACTTTTTTATCATAGTTATGGAAAATCTAAAATCCCAGTCCAGACTATCAAATTTTATTTGACAAAAAACTGTTGTATGCCCATATATAGTCAAGATGAGCCTATATATGGTCATGATGTGATTTCATCATGACCATATTTGGGCATGCCACATGTTTTAGACAAACAAAATTTGATAGTCTGGACAGAGCTTTAGAGGATCCTTGCATACTGCACTGGTCTCACCAGTTATACTAATCAAAGATCTTTCAGAATGCTGGTAACTGTTTTTTTTTTTATAATGGACCTTTACAATAAGCCCCAACCTTGGATATTCTTGCTAAGGTCCCACAAAATGACAATTTAAAAACATACGCAGCACATGCATTTGTGGACAATATGTGTGTCTGTGAGGTATGTACGTATTTCTGACCCTGTTCTGGTCAGTTGTTAAGATTGATTCACATTGAAAATGTACATCGTGTCAAATCCAGTGGCCGATCTAGGCGTGTCAGCAAATCGGGCTCTTTCCCCCTCCACCCTACTTGGCAGCAGCCAAAAAAAACCAAGTGTGAAATCATTTGAATGAATGATTAAAACAGCTAAAATTTCAAAACCTGGACCCAAACAAGACCCTCCACAAAGTTCCTCTCTCAAGCATAGGAACCTTAGGTTCTCAATTGCCACTCATGCCTCCCAGGCAAAAATTCTGGATCCATCGCTGAAATCTTGCACTGCTTCTCTTTAATTGCACTGTAAAATTCCACAGTACGCCCACAATATTAGCCCATACATTGGCCCAGTTAAAAAAGAAATAACTTTACCTTTATCATGCATAAAATAGATCCCATCTTGATGAGGTGGTGTGTCTTTAGCCCCTGGTGGCTTAGAGAAGAACTGCACGTTGTTTGGTTCACAATCTACACCTAGAAGGATGTCAGCTAAACCATTGAATGCTGGAGATTCACTTAAATCCTAAAGGAAAAATATCAGAACAGTGAGATGGCATGGTACACTGTGAAGCTCTGGCTTTATGGTTAGGATGCTCACCTTCCAATCACAAAATTCTGGGTTCAATTCAAGAACTTCTCTCCCCAAGAATCATTATTGGTTTTTCTCCCTATACTGTAAGTTAAAAGCCATTGTTTTTCCCTTTCTGCTTTTATCTTTACATACATAACTTTATTTATATAGCGCTATTTCATGAAGATCAGAGAGCTCAAAACATGGATTACAGTAGCTCATACAGCGAATTTCTTATCTCCAAAGCGTCTCTTTGTGTCTGAGCTGGCCGGTAAACCGGTACTAGCTACCCTCATCGGTCCACAACGGGGGCTATATGGACTAGTACACCGGGGTAACACCCTACTCATCTCGAAAGATGTACTGGGTTCTTTACAGTGCAATAAGCCAATTGTGTGCACTGGGCCTACTGTTTATATTCCTTATCCTAGAAGACTTTCAAACCAGCGCCGATATGGCTGTAGGTTGCAACACCCCTGCCTTAACCGCTCAAGTTATTCAAATTTGATTTTATAACCTCCACTTTGGGTCTTTTTCAAACACAAACCTCTCAAAATGTGGTATATAATGAATGGGTAAATAAACAGATACAAATTACCATCATTGTGCTTTTTTTTAAATATTAAATTAAGGGGGTAATGATGAGACAGACGGCTACAATTCTCACAGCCTTGTGCCCTCTGTATCTGTCCATAATACAATTATTATTTAAAAATTTGGAATAGTATATTTTCAGGAAAGTAAACTTTACTTTGAAGTAGTCATCAAAATCTGCCATTCTTTCCAGACGGATAACGCTGCTGGCATCATCCTTCTTCTCAAAGAATGCTCTCTTGGGTGGTAGATCTGGCACAACTTCCTTCTGATACCTATCCAGCTCACTCCTTATGGCACCAACTTCATCCGGTGACAAGAAGTCAATCAACTAATAATATAATGAACAATGTTAAGTCAAGCAATGTGATAACATTATAAAATAACTTAAATTTATGCTTCTCCCACACTTGCAAAGTCTTCTACAGTGACAGAATGATTAGTATTAAGCTTTTGAGGAGGTGTTTATCAAACAAAACTGATGATGCATTTCCTCCTAGGGGCTAGGAGAACGATACACACATCATGCATCATTTTCAGCGGCCGTGGTAGGCCTAAAATGAACACAAAAGACTGCTTTATTAGTTTTAAATATTCCGGATTATTGTGTGGTGTATTAGATCATACGATAGATATTCTAATATACTGTGCATGAAAGCCTGCCTACCTAACCTAGGCCTAGCTCTAGGCCTAGCCTACTATCATCGAGGCCTAGGGCCTTGCTTGCCAAACCAAATTTGATTATCCTAATAATAAATATATAAAAAGGTACGATGGTTGATTGAAGGTGGTACTACAGGTTTATCATTACTTTTGAAGAAGATTTCTTATCCTAGGCCTGAGCGCACGTAGGCCTACGCCAATCTCCTAACGGACCTCTTCCTGTCCGCGAAATTGGTTCCGCCCAGGTGCCGAGAGTATCGTGATGTGTGCTATTTATTTAGAGGGTATTCCTGAACCGGAAACAAGGCCTAGACTAGGCCCCAAATTAATCGAAAATCGTAGTTATTTTACCTTCACGTAACCTTCATCTAGAAAGAATTCTTTTTCTTCATTTTCATCGACTCTTTCAGAGAACTTTGGCCAAGCAGAAACAAGACCTATTCCCGTTTTCACCTTCTTCAACGGTGGCTCCATCCTTGAGCACAGTGCGAAAAAAGACTGATGTTTTCTATCGGCACTGCCGCAGTGCCAAAAAGCTGCTATTTTCTATCGGCACTGCCGCAGTGCGAAAAAGTTGCTGTTTTCTATCGGGCAACCTGCTGTTAATTAATCGAATCGATGTTTTTGTCGATAGATGGCATTATGGTATCAATAATTGATTAGGTCTAGCCTAGCCTATATTATTGTTAACATTATATTATATATGTTTTACAAATAATAATTATAATTATTTCTAATTAAATTATTAAATATATACATTATATATTAAGCCTAGGCATATATTCATGTATACATAAAACAATAACAATAATGTAATAATAAAATAATAATAATAAATAAATATAATAATTTACGATAGTTTGATTAATGAGATAATAATAATCAGCATATTAAATAAAATTACGTCCATGCAAAACCTGCTTTTAAATAAATGTTATCTACCGTACTGTATTTGTTCTGTTTTAAAAAATAATCTTATAAATTTTTATTTTCTGTGATAATTTTATCCACATAGGCTAATTCATGTTTTCCATGTTAATATGATTGATAAATAATATATATAAAATAATAATAATAATAATATAAATAATAATAATGATGAAGGTGCTCGAATAATGCTTTAATAAATAATTAATAATACTTCATACTTCAATAGGCCTATTTACGATAATGTGATTAATGAGACATTTGTTGATTAAGTTATAGAAATATGATAGGTAGGCCTATATACCATTAATAATGATTCAGCATATTAAATCAACAATACGTC